TTATATCAAATAGATCTAATTATCTTTTTCTTATTTATCTATCTTTTTGTATTACTATTTTTACCTTTAACAATACTTTATATATTCAATAAAACTATTGAAAAAGAAAAAAATTCTATATTAAAATATATTTAATACTTTAAAAGAATCTTTTTATTCAAAAATTACTTAATCAATTATTATTTATAAATTTTTATTTGATTTTAAATAATAATTAAATTTTAAATTTATATGTACTTAAATTTTTTTGATTATTTTTATTATTTATAAACCTTTACAGATTATATAAGTTTAATTAAGACTCTGAAAAGTATTATACTAATGTTAAAATAGTATTAAAATAATACTGATCTATAATAAATTTAATATATAAGTAATAATCTACTTATATGAATTTATAACAAATTTAAATATTGAACTAATATCAAAATGATATTATTAAAAGCCCTAGATTTAATTTATTTAAAAATTTTTTAATTAAAATAAAATTAGTATTTATATTAATATTATTTATTTTGAAATTTTCAAAAAAATATAATAAAGAAAAATTTTAATAAATTGTTTTAATAATTGTAAACTTTATTTTAATTCTTTTTTTAAATATAGATTAAGTTAAAATAAATACTTATAAATATATCTATTATTAATAAAAATATATATAATATAACCAATCTTTTTATTTTATTTTTTTATAATTCAAATATTAATTAATTAAAAAATTTTTAAATAACAATTCTTTTTTAAAAAAAATAATAATAAACAAACTTTTTAATTTATAGTAAAATTTCAAAAAATGATATTTCTATTATTATTGCAATTGAATCAATATGGAATTTAGTACTTTTTAAATATTGTAATAAATTAAATTAAAAATAACTTTTATATATTAAATCAAAAAAATTTTTTTTTGAAATTAAAAGAATATTAAAGCTTTTTATTAATTTTATTAAATTTAAATTTTTTAAAAAATCAGATTTAATTTACTTTTTTTTTCAAAGTTGTATAAATTTTATTTAAAACTTTAAATAATATTAAAATTAAATAAGTTTTGTAAATATACAGTATGGTTTATAAGTATTCAAAAAATTAACTATAGAAAAAAAAAAGATATAACTCTATCAAATTAAGATTGATTTTTATAATCTAATATATAAAAAAACCTATAGATACATGAAAATCTTCATATATACTTTTGTGATATCAATTATTAGTTTTTTTTTTTAAGAAATTCTTTAATATAATTATAACTTCTAAGCAAGAAACTAACTGTAAAATTTATTTTACAATTGTAAATTCAAAAAATTCAGAATTTCAAAAAATTTAAGATATAATTAATATAGTCTTTTTTATAATATATGAAAATATCAATAAATTCAAAAAAAAATAATATGAATAAGCATGTCAGAAGTGAAGATAGGTTTAAAAAAATAATAATAATAGTATCAAAGGTATTAGAACAATTATATGAAGGGATTTATATATTTTAACAAAAACTTTGGTAACAAAGTTGTTAAAAATTAATGTAAAAATATCTTATTAAACAATTTAAATACATTTGATTACTTTTGAATACAAAAAAACCTTTCAATAATAACTTCAATATTTACTGATACTTATAGGTATAAACATATAGAATAAATTCAAAAGTACCTAAACGATAATAGAATAATATATTTTTTTTCAGATGAGATAGCCTTTTTACTCTTTCGTAATACAATAGAACACTAGTATAAAGAAGTACAACCAATATGATACTTGTTCAAGAATCAAATAAAAATCTTTGTATAAGGAAAATTTTGCATAAGGGGTAAAAGTAGTTTATTTTGTTTTTCAGAAATTATGAATATCGAACTTTATATCAATATTTTTCACAAACATATTCCAGAGATCAAGTAATTATTAAATAATAAATGTCAGATAATGACTTAAAATATATAAATTTTGCTAAGGCATTGCTTCAGGAAAATATATCCAAAATTTTGGATTGGTCTTCTAACAGTCCCAATCTAAATCCTATTAAAAATTTCTGAAACAATACCAAAAACACTGTAGAAAAGCATATGCTGAAAAATTTAAATAAATTATATTATTTTATAATAGAAGTTTGAAGAAGTATTCCTGAATCTACTCTAATTAATTTGATAGAATCTATAAGACAATATTGTGAACTTATTATTAAAAGAAATATCAATTGTATTTTGAATTAAAAATAGTTTAATAAATTAACTGGTTTCAGCTTTCATAATGTTTAAATTTCATGTGATTTAAATTATTGGTTGTAGTATGGCAAGTAATTTTTTAATTTCAGATGCTTATAAACCATATTGTATATATTGTTATTAAAGAAATAATATTTATATAACATATATAATTTGATATATTATATATCTTAATTTTTAATAATTAACAAATAATAAATTATAATACAATTTTAAGTTTAATTTGGTTATTATAAAATAATCTATTATTATTTAATAGTTTATTTTAGTTTAATAGAAATTATATAACATAATATAAGATAATTAAAATATATTTCTTTAGTATAAATAAAGTAAAATAATAAAACTATTTGTAATATAAACAATTACAACATATTTTCAATTAAAATTATATATTACTTTCAAAATAATAATAAACAATATCAATATATTTTAATTAAAATCAAATATTTTATTATTCAATTCAATAATAATTTTATATTATTTTTTTTTATTTAAGTTAAATATAATTAAAAACTTAATTTTATTTATAACTATTAATATAAAATTAACAATAATTTTAACTTTTAATTATATTTCAGAACCTTTATTGTATTTAAAAATCCAAATACTCCAGAATGCATCTGATCTTCTCTTAATAATCTATAAATTTAAGACATGTTTTTTAACAATTGTTAGATATATGTATAATTAAGGATCCTAATAATTCTTTTCAATTCTATATTCAATTTTGAAGTTTATATTAAATTTAATAGGTGGAATATACTCCATTATTATTTTTAATGGTTTTTTGAACCTCATGTGATTCTCTGCGATTTTGTTTAATTCCAATTTTTGAAACTATATGTATAATACAATTATAATCTTTAATAATATATTATACAAGCCAAATACTACTAATTAATTACTATAAGCAAATGTTATCAAATTAGAAACATAAGGTTATATAATGTGCATATTGTTTATTTATTTATTATTTATTATATTAATTAGGTATATATATACTGTATATCCAAAATTTCAAAAATCTCAAAAAATCTAAAATGTTTATAAATCCCTTTAACTTCAATTATACCTTAATTGATTGTTATTATAAAACTGGTAACATGATCATTTTTTCTATTATTTATAATAATCAAAAACCTATTATGATAATAATTATCATTATCATTACTTTATGCTTCATATTTAATGACAATTATAATTTTCTAATTTAATAACTGTTTTTTAAAAAAACTATTATTAACTTTAGGGTTATTTAAGAATAAGACGAGTAATGACAAATATAAGTAAAAAAAGACTGACAGAATAGATAGTAATTAAGAATCTGCTTAAGGAAAAAAATGATGAGACAGAGTAGATGGGTAATTATTTTTGAAGGCGACAAAAATGCTAGATATGATTTTTTCAGATCCGACTTTTAAACAATACATATATAGTATAAATTTTAGGATCACCCCAGAAAATTTCCGGTCCGCCTTCGAAAATAATTACCCAGATGATAATTTTCTGTTTAATACTTAATAATTATAAAGATGCAGTAATCATAAGACACGTGATAACATTGACATAATAGATGGTGTAACGGCGCGTCTGTCGCTCATTCTAGCAGAGATTCGCGTAACCGTTATTAGATAAGTGAACGAAAGGGTGATTTGAGGCATGTTATTATTTGACCGAGTCTTTATTAATTTTCTTCTCTAATTATTCTCACTACTTCCCTTCTCTATACTTTGCATGTTATTTATATTTCTCTTTCTTATCATTTGGCTATGGCGGCTTGGTCATTAAATAATAAGCGCTAATAAAATGACATGGTTAAAGCTATATGGCATAATTCTTTTCTCGTCCTTTATTACTAATTATCTCAGCCGACCATCATTGTCGCGACAATCTATCACGTGACTGACGTCGCGTTCCATTTCTCCTGTTATACTATAGATTTAATTTCCGCCTATGTCTCCCTTATATTTTCACATTTATTTCTTTTATCCCCGCATATTTGAGTTTAAGGTCAAATTGCCGGGATTCTGTTTATAAATAAGAACGAAAAATAGTTTAGATGAATAGCATACAATATTAAATAACGGTCACAAATAAATTTAACTTTACCAGTAATTCTCGAGATAACACGGCTAGTATAATGCGCCAACGGATGTGTTTTCAATTCAAAATATGGTACAACTGGAAATGGATTTTTTTTTCTTTCTTCCTCAGCCAACTTAAATTGATTCCTAATAATAATGTCATTATCTGTAAGATGATCTGATGCATCTTTAGAAATAATTATGATCCATTGTACCAAAGTCTTGGCTAAAAAGCTAGCTGTTGGGCGTTTTTCTGGATCAGGATCCCAGCATTGCTTCATTAATTGGACATAACTTTCTGGAGTCCCTTTAATTACTGGGGGTCTTAAACCACAGTAAATATCGTAAACTAAATCTGGTCCAAAAGCCATATTGTGAAATGGTGGTTGGCAGGATGTGCACTCCCACATGGCAATTCCAAAGCTGTAAATATCCGTAGCTTTCGTGTGAGGTTTGCAGGCAAGAACTTCTGGCGCAACATATGGTATTACGCCTTTAAGACTCCCATTCATAGTTTGACCATCTTCACATGCTAGTCCGAGATCGGAAATGAAGTTACGCCTGTTCTTGCCAAAAAGCATATTCCCGGCGTGTAGGTCTCTGTGCACAAGTTTTGCTGCGTGTAAGCTACGAAGATCAATCGCAATGCTCCAGAGTCTATCGAGACGATCTACCCAAGTGCTATTTGCAAAATTAGCAGATAGGTAAGCTCTTAAATCACCTTCTTCTACAAATCTCATAACAATCAAATATTTTTTTGTTTCTGGATGTCGTGTGATTCCATAGCAATCTAAGGAATACAGATTAATCTTCAAACATTTATGAAGAGCGATAACCTAAGTAATAAAAATGAAGTTTTACTATTTATTGACGAGATAACAACAACCAATAAATTACCTCTTTTAGAAGCTCTGCAATACTATTTTCTTTTTCTGTTATATATTTTAGTGCAACCCACATTGGCTCATCTCGATCCCATTTATTTGTCTTAGAGTTCCATTTACGGATACGTCCTACTTTTGAGTATGCCTTAAAAACAGTGCCATATCCACCTCGTCCTATCTGCTTTAATTCTGAAAGACGAATTTCCGGAATCCATTCTAAGGCTTGTTCGGGAAACTCGGCAGTAATTTGTGTTTCGTAAATGAATTCATCAATATTAGAATCGCCACTTGTCCAATTCGAGCGTTCTGACTTAAAACGATTAGAATAACAGCCTCTGCACCAACGTAGAGATATCCATTTTTCATTACAAGAAGGACACAGTTCTACTAATTTTTCTATTACTACATAATTCTTTGACTCAGGATCACGCGTTAATCCATAAATTAGACGATTTGATGGATTATATTTTACCAATTCTAGTTCCTAAATTAAACAACGGAACAATTATGAGAGGATTATTCCGTTTATTTACAAACATAAAAATGAACTAGATACATTATACCGATTTAAGAATACTTGAGGTCAAATATTTTTCGCAATAATTGGTTATCAATTTAACCCGCTGCCTACCAGACCGATTCCATTTATTTGATTCTGAATTCCAATTTATCACATATCCATCCTCCCAATAAGCTTCTTTGTTTATCGAGAAGTCAACCTTTCTTATAAACGTAAATTTAGCATAGTCAATCCATTCTAATACGTGTTCGTGTCGCTCAGCGGCTAGCTGTGATTCTTGAATGCATTCGTCGATTGCTGCGTTGCCACTTGTCCAATTTGAGAAATCGGCCTTAAAATATTTACTATTGCAATGTTTACACCATCGAGTCTGATTTAATAAGTTTGTTACATCTTTCACACTTGAAATATCTTTGTTTTCTTCCATAGTACATAATAATATCCAAATATTCTAATCTCTGTCAGTACGAGTTAAATGATATTGTTATCTGCGTTTTTCAAAACAAAACTCAAAATATGCGATAGTCAGTATACGGAGGCACTACAAGAAGCTAGAATATATAGAAACATGTGTGAGACATTAAAATAATGCGTTACATAATGCTTTAATTAAAGTAGAATGAATTAATACTTACAAAATACTTATGTTAATGTACATAATAGAAAAAAGCAATGTAAAATTCACGCTCATTCATTTTAACCCACATTTTACAAGACTTATTAAGCGTATCCAACCTTTTTTGTACATTGCCAGGGGATTTTTTCTAGACAATAAAAGAAATATTTTAGCAAATCTCAAATATTTACGATAATGATCTCTATATTTTCTAGGAACGACAACATTACAAAACTACTAACTAATTGGCATTGAATTTTGACAAGCTATTCGCATACATTCTCACTATGCGAAAGACATTATTTTCCTTACGTGTACGTACAGTCAACACTAAAAATTACGGCTGATTTTTATGCAAAATGTAGTCGGGCATCATCATAAATTGGTACAACCAAAATAATAAATATCTTCAGGCTTTAGTTAATAAAAACAGTCCATTGCAGAGTTTTAATTGAATATTATTGATTGAGCCAAACAAATATGTATGTTAATAAACAATTTTTATTGGTGTTCAATATGACAGGTATTCATATATATATTAGTATTGGTATAACCAAATAAATTTATTTACTTTCATAATGATTGCTAAAAAATTTAAAATTATTTTTTTTTATTAAAAAAATTAATTTAATTTCCGAATGTCTCATATTGGCGAAAATTTAGGCACAATTTAAGGGAACGCTTTAGTATCTTGAATAAAAAGCCAATACAGTAGTAATAATAAAGCTGCGGTTTGCAAATATATTATTGAATATTTTGATTGTCAACAGGTATTTTAACAAGCAAAATTACCCAATGTGGTGAAGTTCAGTTCATCTTTGAAAATGGAAAAACTTAACAAGCAAATATACAACTGAAGAAATCAATAAGTTTTATATATACAATGTCATTAAAATAAAAAAGAAAACTTAACAAAAAAAATTTGACAAAAAAAGTAATTTATTTTAAAGATAATAATAAATCAGTTCTATTATCTATAATAAGTTTATTTTCAAATTCAATATAATAATCACTATATTGTTAACTGAAAAAAAATTTATAAAATTCAATTGCATTATATGATTCATTGTATTATTTAAAGTTAGATTAATTGATTAAAGTAAAAATATAGTCATCAATATTGTAAAGCCTATTTTATAGTTTGATCTATTATATTTTGTTACAACAGTTTATTATGTTTTTATAAGAAATAATATATCCCTTGATATAAAAAGAAGAAGAAAAGTGTAATGTAAATAATAATAACAATAATAATAACAATAATAATAATAATAATAACAATAATAATAATAATTAAATTAATTTTTTTAGACTTATTTTTTTAAATGTGCTATTTAGAAAATAGTTGCAATATCAAAAAAGAAAGATTCCGGTTTATTAAAAAAAATTAATTTAGAAAAAAGATTTTTAATCAAATCAATTTTTATATTTTAAATTATTTATATTGTTGTAACTTTATTGAACTAGAACTCATATAAATATTTTGATTGAATTGAATAAGTATTGTTCTTTTATTTGATTAGAAATTTATATATGTTGCCATTAATAGTGTTAAATTTGAATAAAAAAAGGTTTGCAAAATTGTAATAAATAAACATTAAATCTAGTAACTTTGTTTTAATATGTATTTGAAGTGTATTTTTAATATAAAAAAAATATGAAGATAGTAAATCTTTATGTTTTGATTTAAAATTTATCTGACTTAAAAATGAAAAGTGTTTCTTGAAAAAAATTATCAAAAAAGGAATTTCAAAAAATGGGCAATGTGTGGACAAAAGTATTTGTTTTTTTTTTTGTATAATCAATATTTTGAAACAATTTTAATTATATAAATATGGATTAGTTAATTATGTTTACAAGTTATTTATTGTTCATTTAATTCCATCTCTTAATAAACAATAAATGAGTTCCCAATAAAACACTTTATATGTTTAATTCATTGAACTAATAACACTGATTATAAGGGAGTTCTGTTATACACACGTGGAACATGTAGACCAATAATAATAATTAACAGTCGAATAAAAAAATTTTTTTTCGCATAAATAAATAAATAATATCAAATATTAAGAAAATTGATCAAATATAATTATCAGTGCATTAAATAAATTTAATACAGTGCAACAGGCCAAACGGCGTGTCTGCCGCTAACTCCGACCAGATTTCGCATTACCTGCTTAATTGCAACCCCAAAAACAACAATAATAATAAACAATAATTAATGGTACATTTATTTGAGGCGTGAAAAAACTTTGATTTCTTTACATAAACATGACAAGAAATGAAAGATAAGAGAAAAAAAAGAGTTCCCATACATGAGATTAAATAATTTGTTTCTGTTTTCTTGTAACATTACCATTTATCACTTAGCTATCTCTACTCTACGGTTACGTATTTGTACATGGTTTCTCGTTTTGAAGTTCACGAAGCCGATCAACACCAGGTCGCGTTACGCGTATTGGTGGTACAGTTCAACCCATAAAGATTAGGTAACAAAAAATTCATACATGATATATACCGATCATACCAGAAAGGCTAACCTTTTAATTATTAATTCTATTTTCGGCGTTTCCAAAATATCCTTTCATTGAAAATATTGACACCAACTTCCGACACATTACAGTATACTGAAATACGCAGCACACAAAGATCTAAATTCGTAGCTTCTGATGTAGTACTAATTAATCGGTGTAATTCCTTTGTTTTGCATTTGCCATGTACAGTACATACAGTATTTATCCCGATGGTTACAGTATTATTATTATTAATTAGAACTAATTTAGCTATGTAAATACGTACTTGAATTTTGGAAGGACGTGTATCACTCCCATGACGTGATCGCCCTTGATAGAAGCCTGAATTTGGCAAAGCTATAATGAACCTGAGAACATTGTCAACATCTTCGGACAAAAGATCCGTGTCGTTTTTAGACATATTTATGTTTTTCACTTTGTGCAACCCTTTTTTTTCACTCTAACTCCACTTTATAAAACTTTTCCTCTGGCGTATCATTATTTGTCTAATGTACTGTATAACTATTCCACCAACGTTTAACAAACAATTGCCTTAAAACAATGAAATAGATTGTTTTATATTTACTCTTGTGATCCTTGATTGAAAACCTAATTCAGTCATATTACAAAGAGTCTTTAAACCTGTATCATATGTAAATGTTCGCGGTACACATGGAAATAAAATTATTACCGTAGAATCCATTGAGTTGGTACTCCGTATCGACTAATACGCTTGATGTTTAATGAAAACATTGCACAGTCATGTATTTTTGAATAGCTAAATACATTGCTATGAAAAAACCCACATCGGAGACTATAACTTGCTCCTCCTTTTATGCCTATTTGAGGTCCAAATTTTTCAGAAATTTTATCAACCTATTTTTTTCCCTAGAAAATGAATTCATTCGTTATGAGAAACAAAAGTAAACTTGTTATATGTAATGAATGTAATGAAATTATAAGTGCAAAGACTAAATGGTGCACGAAATGCAATGCCAATCATTTTGAAGTCGACTTTTCTAATTGGACGAGTAGCAGTGCAGCTATTGACGAATTCATTAGAAAAACTCAGTTAACCGCTGAACGCCACGAATTTGTATTTGAATGGGTTGACTATTCCAAGTTTTCTCGCCTTAGAAAAGTAAAATTCTCTATAAATAATGAAGCTTATTGGGAAGAAGGGTATGTGACAAGTTGGAATTCCGAGTTGAATAAATGGAATCGGTCCGGCGGGCAGTGGGTTAAATTAGTGAGCCACTATTGCGAGAAATATCTGATTTCCCATTTTCTCAAATCGGTAAATGTTAACTCATATTTTAAATAACGAAAATGCAATGTCACTAATCCCTGTGAGTTGTCGAATTTCTGATTTAGGAGTTGGAAGCTGCAAAAGCTGATCTATCAAAGCGACTAATCTTCGGATTAACGCGTGACCCTGTATCCAAAGATTATTGTGTTATTGAAAAATTACAAGAGCTGTGTCCTTCTTGCAAACGAGAATGGATGTGCTCACGCTGGTGTCGTGGTTGTTACTCAAATCTATTTGAAGCCGAACGATCAAATTGGACAAGTGGCAACTCCGATATCGATGACTTTATTTACGAAACACAAGTAACCGCTGAATTTCCCGAGCAGGTCTTAGAATGGATTCCGGAAACTCAGTTTACAAAAATGATACAGATTGGACAAGGTGGATATGGTACTGTCTTTAAATCATACTTAAAAGTGGGGCGTATCCGTAAATGGAATTCTAATACCAATAAATGGGATCGGGACGAACCGATGTCGGTTGCCCTTAAAAACATTGCGGAAGAGGAAAATAGCGTCACCGAATTTCTTAAAGAGGTAGTTGTTAAAAATCAAGATCACGTCGTTAATAGTTTAATAATATTTAAATATAAAAATACGTCTTTTTGTTTTTTTTAGATTAGGGCTCTTCACGAGTGCTTGAAAATTAATCTGTACTCTTTAGATTGCTATGGCATTACTCGACATCCAGAAACAAAAAAATATTTAATTGTTATGCGATTTGTAGAGGAAGGTGATTTAAGAACTTACCTGTCCTCTAACTTTTCAAATAGCAGTTGGGATAATCGCCTCGATAGACTCTGGAGCTTTTCGATTGATCTTCGTAGCTTACACTATGCAGGGCTCGTGCACAGAGACCTACACGCTGGGAATATGCTTTTTGGCAAGAACGGGCGTAATTTTATTTCTGACCTTGGATTAACTTGTAGAGATGGTCAATCTACTAGTGGAAAACTCAAAGGTGTTTTGCCATATATTGCACCAGAAGTTCTTGCCTGCAAACCTCACACGAAAGCCTCGGACATTTACAGTTTCGCCATAGTCATGTGGGAATGCACCTCCTGTCAACCTCCGTTTCATGATAAGGCTTTTAATACCGATTTGGCTATAGAAATTTGCCGTGGATTAAGGCCACCGACAATCAAAGGAACTCCAGAATGCTATGCTGAGTTGATGAAAAAATGCTGGGATCCGGATCCAGAAAAACGCCCCACGGCTCAATTTTTGGCTGAAACTTTGGAAAAATGGATTTTGGTTCTTTCCAAAGATATATCTGAACTCACCACAGATGATCAAATCGATATCAAAAAGCAATTTAGGCTAGCCGAAGAAGAAAGAAAAAGAAATCCGTTCCCGGTTGTGCCATATTCTGAATTAAAAACGCATCCCTTGGCAATTTACACTAGCCGCATTGTCCCCCGAGTTACTGCTGATGTTCATACGGGTAAGTTAAATTCTAAAAGATTATGAATGATACCGCGGAACATTTATATTAATTGATTCTTTATTAAACAGGAACATCTCAATATGATCTCCGTTTTGATTCAAGTTAATCTAATTAAGTACGATATGTGCCATTTTGATTCACATGTATCATGGATTATATAAAACTGTATGTTGGTCTTATTCCACGGCAGTACAGTAATGCGTGCAAAGATTATCTTCGATATAATGAAATGAAGAGGAGAGGTATATGGAGGTAGACCTAAACATTATATTACCAATATTACTATAAATTTATGAATGTATACGTAGATACATGTCAATTGTTATCTGTGTAATTGTATATTTTTATTTGATATAAAAGATAATTTATACTGTATAAGGTACATTCCTAGAGTCAGGTATGCTTTCTAAAAGAACTCTCTTCTAGAATATATAAGATAAAAATGCGCTATCTAAGTAGAAGGGTGTCAAAAAACGTAACTCATGCCCATAACTGTAACCTTCCCATAATTCTTTTTATCAAATTGTAAAATCAATAGCTTGAATATCTTCAAAGAAAATTGTTTGTATTTACATGTATGTGATTTGTTTATCGAAAATATTGAAAATTCAATAGATTTAAATACTAATTTTGTGAAAATAATTAAACTTATTTCAAATGTTATAGCTAATGTCTTTAATAACAATTGTTAGATAGCTAGAATAGACAAATTAAAAAAAAAAGAGTATGCTTACAGTGTAAAAAAATACATTAAACTATATATGAAAATTTTTAAAAAGATTCGTCAATTGGTTTATGTAAGGGATAATGCGAATTTCTAAATAAAATTTGGTTTTTTTTTACTAAATTAAAATAAGACATAATATTAGTGTTCAAATAATCATAAAACTTTTCATAAATAAGGTAATATTAATAAATAAAAAAATAATTAAAATAACAAGAATAATTAAAATAATTAAAAAATTAAAAAAAAGAAGATAATTAGAATAAAAGAAATAATTAAGATAAAAGAAATAATTGAAATAAAAAAATTAATTCAAATAATCGAAATAATAGAAACATATATAAATATATTTAACTTTTATTAAATAAAAGTATTAAACATATATTTATTTAATATATAAACTTTATTTGTATAATAAATTCCTATATATTATTTTTTCAGTATTATGATTTTGTTTCATTTATAATTATATGATGTATAAATAAAAATTAATTAAATTCGATTGTCTTTTTATTTATAAAACAAAAAAAAATATTAGTAATAATACAAATTATATAGATAATATTATAAAAAAAATATAAATAGAAATATAATACTGTAACATACTATATAATAATAGTGTTAATGATGGTAAAATAATAATAATTGATAATAATATATAATGAATAAAGATGTATTAACAAAATATATAAATAAAATAGTTTATATAGTTTAAAAAATAAGATTACAATTTCAAAATTTTAGAAAAGTTTGATTTTTAAAACACTTTTTTACTTTTATAACTTGTTTATACTTTATTATATAAACTTTATTTTATTTTATATAATAAATATTATTCTATTTTTAAAGTGTAAACTAAATTAATACTATTATAATAAAATAAATAATTTTAAGAAAGAATAATATTAAATTACTCTTATATATTACAAAAAAAATAATACTTATAATCTTAAAATATATTTAAAAAAAATAATTAAAAAAGAATTTATTAATATATAAAAATTAGTTAAATTATAACTTATTTCAAAGTTAAAATCTTATCTTATTTAATACTAAAATCTGAATATTCAAATTATTATTATATAAAAAATAAATTATTTTAGTAACAGGCTTGTCAGTAATAACAATACTAAATAATATAATATGAATTTTTTTTAATATTAAGTAAAACATTTTTCATAATCTTTATTAATAAAGTAATATATATTATATAATTAATATTAAGATATATAAAATATATTGTATACATGTCAATCTACTACTATATTAGAAATATTTCTAAAAAAAACATTAAACAAAAAAAAAAAAGAAATTACATAATATTGAAGAGTTGATATCTTCTTGATAATTTATTTTATTCTGGAAATGTATAAAAGAATTTTAAAAAAAAATTTTGAGTGCTATATTAATTAGATTATTTTGTTATATTGATTTATTATTAATTATTAAAATGGATTTTATGTTTTATTGATGTTGTATAGATTTTTTCTGTTTTTTGTTATTATTATTATTATTGTTTTTTTTGTATTTGATATTTTCTCTACAATTATATTTTTGTTTTTTGAAGATCAGATAAAGGTTGATAAGTTCAAGTATATTACTTTATATTGTTTTAGATTTTGTTAAGTTGGCTTTAAATTGTTAAATAGATTTTTAAGTTGAAGTATACATGTTATAAAGTTAATTAAATTAATAGAATTGTTGATTGTTTTTTTGTTTTTTGTAATAAATTGAAATTAAAGTTTTTGTTTTTTTTTTGTATTTTTTTATGATTATATTTGAATATTAAAAAATATTTTTTTGATTGTAGATATGCCTTTGTTACAAAACCAAAAATAATATATAGTTTATGAAAAACATTTATTTTTTTTTGTGTTTAACCAGCTGGGCCTTGCCTAGCGTACTTTATTATTTTATTCACATATGTATTTCGTGTATTACAAGAACTACTATCTATAAACAATTCTACACATTGCTAGACTATATCAATTTTACTTCATATCAGCTTGTTGCTGTTAGCGTCACCCTATAGGAGTTGTGCTGAGGCTAACATGCCAAAGTCCTGTTAGTGTTATTATTATATTGTGATGTTCTATTTGGCACTATAGAATTTTTAAGGGGAAGTTTGAATGTGGGGAACTGGAGGTAGTATCTATTTTTTGGCAAATAGAACCACTGCAGAGAGAATTCTTCTAAATCTGATCACCTGCAAATAGGCGTACCATTTAATTTCCACCTTCCTAAAGCTATCCAAGAACATTCAAGGAACTTATCTCACAAACTTACTGCCCATAGATTGTTTCAGCTATCAGTACTTACTGCTGTTTTGGCTGTCTTCTCGGGATAGGTAACTGTCAGAGCGATCTATTACTGGATTGGAATAAGACCTTTCTGGAAACTTGCAGGAAGAGACACCAGGTATCATGGGGAAGCGATCACCAAGTTATCTTTAACTAAAAGCGGACACCTTATACACCTTACAACTTCTAGCGATCATTGTAACACCAACCGAATGATTGTCACATCCCAACATCTTTTCTGAAAATTACAATCTCAACGTTCGCTGGATTAGCGTGTAATACAACTTCTCATGAGAAACAGCGCTTATACAGATTATGGTACCAGATATCATATTAATTCTATTCAACTGCCTTTACATAGGGTTGAACTGGTATCTTGTGATTTAACCTATGAAGTATTAACCACTACACTATAGACCCACAGGTTGTTTATGAAAAGACATTATATTATAGTTATATAGTATATTATTTATATATATTTGTAAAAATATAATATAAGAATAGAATTTGATTAGTGGTGTATTAAAGAGAATTTTGAAATGAAAATTATAGATTTTGAATTAATATTGAATAGTTGAAATTGACATGTTTTGGAAAAATGTTAGAGTATTTATAAGAAAAAAAAATATGACTTGAAGGTTATTTTTATATATTTAAATAAGATTAATTTTATAAATAAAATTATTTTATTTATTTGTTTAAAATATTAGCATATTAATAAAATAAAATAGTTGTTATAATTTATAAGTATATATTGGATTAATAAGATATTAATTATTTTAATTTTTTATATTTTAAAAATAAGTTTGTAGAAGATATTGCTATAATTATTAGTAATACTATTTTTAGATTATTATTTTATATTATTATATTATCTTATTATTTCTATTATTAATTATTTAACATATATAATATATTTAGTATACTGTATCAAATAAATATGACATTTCTGTTGAGTATAACTAATATGTCAGATCAGTCTAATTGATCTGAGCAATCTGAATGATGAGCAACTTAATAAAGTATATTAAACATATATGACAGAATTGGCCTATCTTGTCTATTGTTTATTTTTATTTTTTTTATATTTTAAACATATAAATAGAACGGCTGTTTTTTTCAACTGTTCAAGGAATTTCCCAATTCTTTTTAACTTTCTTTAATAAAAATCATTTTGAATCCATAATCAAATCACTATGTTTTTTGCTTTTGAAATAAATTTTGTCCAATTCCTTCATCTTATTAATACTAGTATACTACAACTGAGATTATTTTTCTCTAAATTAAGTAGTTCCCTATTATTGTTATCTATTGATCTATTTAATTTTAAGATTTATTAAATAGATTAACAGCATATAAAATTTGAAAAGTTTAAATTATATTGTAAATATTTAAAATATTAATAAAGTATAAGAGTTTATATATTTTTTTCTATAATTTGTAAGTAATAACATAAAGATTTTATTAATTAACTTTAAATATGTAATAAAAAAGTAATAGTTTTTTTATTTGTTTGAAAAAAAAGTAATAATTATTATATATAATAATAAAAATAAGAAACTTGGGTTGAAATTTATTAAGAAAAATTTATAATATTGAATAAAGCCTTATTTTACAATCGTTATATTAGATTGTTATTTGTAAGTGAGCAGTATTTTCAAAAAAGAGATAATAAATTGAAGTATGGAATTGTTAGTTGGTTGTAAGATTAATAATATATATTTTTGTTTAAATAATTTATAAAGATCTGGATAAATTAAAATTTGAGAGTATATAGTTAGTATATATAATGGATTAGTTTGTATTGCTTTTGTTTTAATAATATTATTGAATTAAAATTTGACAAAAAGATTTAGAAAGTTTAAGAGAACTAAAAGTTGACATTAATAAGTATTTGTATAAATGTTTAATAAACAACCTATGTATTTAAATAGAGCTATTATTCTATTGAAATCTAAATTGTTATAGGTCCAGTAGTTGATAAGAAACTATCTTTGATTGTTTTTTGTTTATTTTCTATTATTATTTTATTGTTAATCAAAGTTGCTATTTATTTTTTTTTTTTATTTAATTGGATTGAAC